AAGTGATGCATATCAGAGAAGGTACTCACCTGTTTTTATGGAAAAATTGGATTTATGATGATTTATACTGTGCTGAGCTAAAGAAATTAGGAAATACCTGGAAGGGATTATATTGCCTTGTATTCAGGAGCTTGTAGTCCTTAAAAACAAGCAAGCTGATATGACCTATCTCAGAAAAACATTCTCCAATTCTATCTGTACTACAAACAGCTACATCTTCCACAAGGGGTATGGACTATCTTCTCACAGTATAGAGAACATTTTAACAGAGATGAGTTGCTCTATGAAGCAGTTCTGAAGGTGTTTCATGTACTCTGAGATTAGAGGAACAACAGTCTGCATCTGCAGGTTACAGCTCAGACTAACAAAATGCCACCTTTGCATTAATCCTGCAGACTGGTGAAATGTAATGGTGCAGTGCTTGAACACTAAGTGCAATTCCTAACACAACAACAAGCCACATTAATGAACATCAAGTTAAGGAACATAGGAGGCTTCTATTCCTTCAGCTGTTCTGCACATGCCAGTATCAAGGATCCAGTTTCAAACTGAAAGGAAGATGATGAACTAGGACTAAGATCTACTTTTATTTCAACTCTTACTTGGCGGTATAAAAACACTTCCCAAACATCAGTGAATTGAGGCTTACAGTATCATATTCAACAGGGGAAAACTCACTAAGAGAGTTATCAGTTAATCTGCTGATACACAAGAAAACCAAAGAATGCAAACCTTCAGCTAACAGGTTGCATATGATAACTCACACAACTGATTTTCTAACCAGCAGGGTATTGGTAGCAGGGGGTGACTGGGATGACCTGTGTTGTGGGAAGCCACACAAGTCACAGCCCCTTGCAAGTTATAGCTGCTTTCAAAGGCACACTTCCAAAGGTGCTGTGGGCAAACTATGCTGGAGTAGAGACAACCTGAGCGACTGTGTCCTTTGGTTAACACGTGCTGGTGTAGTGGAAAACAAGCAGCAACCAGCAGAAATAAAGCATCACAACCCTAGCTTCCTGCATAAACCCTGGCCTTGCCAAAGGGACTGGCCATAGTTGAACATAACATGTAGCACAAGCATGGTAAGCTGAACCTCTGAAAAGAGGATGAAAAGTTTTTTTACTCAATTTGAAAGCGTTTGTCTCCTGAGTGTTTTTTTATTATTAATATTTTGTCCTTTTACTTCTCATTATCTCATTAATAAGCAAAAGTTTCTGTTCATTGCTAATACATAAAGCATAATTTCCCAAATCAAGACTATTTTGCTCAAGACATGCTTATTACTTACAAACATGAGCAAAAAAACCAAGAATGTTATTTGACATGGTTGAACTGCCATTTGAACAGCAAGCTGCTATGCTGCATTAAAAGCCTCACTAAAAAGCAAGTTTAGATTGTTTTAAGTATCCTCTAACAGCAGTAATCTACACAGGTTGAAGATGGAATGGAAGTAATAATAATAATAATAATAATAATAATCAATGATATCGATGTAGGAATTGAGTGCATCCTCAGCAAGTTTGCTGATGACACCAAGCTGAGCGGTGTGGTCAACACGGCCGAAGGAAGGGATGCCATGCAGAGGGACCTTGAGAGGCTGGAAAGATGGGCCCAGGTGAACCTGATGAGGTTCAACACAGCAAAGTGCAGAGTTTTGCACTTGGGCCAGAGGAAACCCAGGCATCCGTACAGACTGGAAGGAGCAGTACTTGAAAGCAGCCCTGTGGAGAAGGACCTGGGGGTCTTGATAGATGAAAAGCTTAACATGAGCCAGCAGTGTGCTCTTGCGGCTCGGAGGGCAAATGGTATCCTGGGCTCCATCAGAAGAGGGGTGGCCAGCAGGGACAGGGAGGTGATTGTCCCCCTCTGCTCTGCTCTTGGGAGGCCCCATCTGGAGTACTGCGTGCAAGCGTGGAGCCTGCAGTAAAAAAGACAGGGAGAGAATCCAGAGGAGGGCCACTAGGATGATCAGGGTGCTGCAGCACCTCCCCTATGAGGACAGGCTGAGGGAGCTGGGCTTGTTCAGCCTGGACAAAAGAAGGCTGCACGGTGACCTCGTTGCAGCCTTTCAGTACCTAAAGGGAGCCTACAGAGGGGAGGGGAATCAACTCTTTGAAAGGGTTGATATGTGTTCGATGAGGGGAAATGGTTTTAAGTTGAGGGAGAGGAGATTTAGGTCAGACATCAGGGGGAAATTCTTTACCATGAGAGTGGTGAGGTACTGGAACAGGCTGCTCAGAGAGGTTGTGGATGGCCCGTCCTTGGAGGTGTTCAAGGCCAGATTGGATGGGGCCCTGGACAGCCTGGTTTAGCATTAAATGGGGAGGTTGGTGGCCCTGCATGTGGCAGGGGGGTTGGAGATTCATGATCCTTGAGGTCCCTACCAACCCTGGCCATTCTGTGATTTTGTGATTCTGTGATTCTGTAATAGACATCATACAACTAGACCGCTTGAAAAAGGCTCAGAAGTAAAATAAGGTGAACTGTGCCACTGGAGAATAAAATCAGTCACTCAGGAAGCGAGCACAAAACAGATGCTACATATTAAACTCAAACCTTAATTTGGTTTCTGATAAAACTCCCCTGGAGACATGCCACTAGGGCCTTATGATGCACACTGCCTCTTCTGCCTGTGAACTGTGGGAAAGGGCCGGTGCGTTCTCAGACTTGCTGTTTTCTCACAAATCAGCCAATTGGCCATGCCTTGTTTCCTTCAGGACCACCTGCAGGATCAGTAAGTGTGCCAGCTTCCTTTTTTTTTTTCCATACAAAAAGACTCTTTCCATGAGAGACTCAGGGGTCTGTCAAATTAACACAGCCTTGAAGATGGGAAGAAGATAAGCAGCACTTTTATCTATAGACTCTGTATTAACAAAAGTTATGAATGGGAGGGGAGGAACTCTATTTGACTCATTTGCCTCATTTGATTCATAACTGTTACATCAGCTTACAAAAGCTGATAAAATCTATTTTAAACTAAGGGTGAAAGTCCTGCCAGCAGGCTAATATTACTATTTATCTACTGCCTACTTCCTAGTTATTCTCCCTTTTTGAAGATGTGGTGATAAATCAGTTGCCTTCCTGTTTAGTAAAGCATGTGGCAGTCTGTTTATTTAATCAGCTCCTGGCCCATTTTCTAATTAAGGGAGATAATGTGGGCTCATTTCCTGCTGTGGCGAACCTGGCACAGCACAGGTTGTCCTCAGCTATTGCAATAAAGTAGAAGATTATTTGTAATATCTGCTTTTGTTTGGCAGCTCCTCCCCTTCTCTCTGCCCAGCTGAAGACAAAAATGCAGATAATTTTTTTTCTTCATTTCTAGTTCCTCCCGAGTCGAGGACAGGGAGACGTAAGAAACAGGTGGGGTTTTGTCATCTTGCTGATACTGTGCCTTTCATGCATGTGGAACAGTTTTCTGGAAGCTCCTGCAGCTCAACAAAGTTCAAAGCACCCTGTGCTGAAACTAAGAGTAATTTTGTGAGGGAAGCAAATGCTGGAATGCAAGGGGAAAGCATATACCGATGCAGCACATTCTTAGCCTGCTCTCCTGCTAGACTTGGGCCACTTCCTGCACCACTCTGGCCTCAGACCTTCATCTGTCTGCTCAGCACAGGAATTTTGCTAATCTCTTCTTGTGGCATCAAATTAATTTTTGGGCTCTTTGTATGTCAAAGCAGGCAAGGATCTTGTAGCTGACTAGCTGTCTCCTCTTTTCCCACCCCACCTCATTTTATTTGTAACACAGCTACAGAGATCAACAGCTACAACAAACCCAGAATCCCTGGTCTGCCAAAGTTCTCTTTTACAGGGCACCTACTCACCCTTACCAGACATTTAGATGGTATTAAGTTCTCCACCCACAAAGGAATGACAGAAACATTACAGGTTACTTGTATGTGCCATATACAGCATCTTTCAGAGGGACTTGTGAAGTGCTGCAAACAAGACCATTCTCTTTGTCTTTATTCACTGGCTCTGCTTCAGTTATCATAAGCACATACATGTACCACTCTGCAATAGCTCCAGCTCCCAGAGAGCCACCACTTCCAGAAATATTTAATACCAGCTATGCTGTACACATCTGTGCATTCTGCCTTTGTGAGGAACAATTGAAAGTCTGTGGACGTGTTCCACAGTGTTCCTAGGAAACAATGCTTTCAGTGGAGCACGTTGGACTGTGTTGCATCTGCAAGTGTTGGCCAATCTCTGCTGCTCTTGTGCCTCTGATGAAAAAAATACCCCAGCCATTATGAATAAGCTGTACAACACAGTACTTTCAGAATTCTGGCCAACACAGAAATGTTGCCCCATACCCTTTAAAAGTTGGCGCACAGTGAGGAAACCTTTTGAATTGTCTTTCTTATCTGCCTACACTTCTATTTCACTTGCATTTGCAGACCACAGCAGAAGGGTTTCCATTTCTGAAGCCTTAGTTTTGAAAACAATAAGTTTCATATGACCTACCTTCAGTCAAAAGGAAGTGTCTGGTTTTCTTACGCTGTTAATTGTCTGAGTCTCAGTCTCACCTCATTTGTCTCACTTAGATCCAGGCCTAGCACACTCAATATTTTCAAAAACACCTACTTAAAACATTTCTAAAAAATCCCATTTCACCTCTATTTACACCACTGTTCTCTTCATGTGCATGCAACTGGATGCTACAAGTACCACGCTGTGACCAACTAGTGAAAAAAAGACAGCACAAAGTTATATATAAAATATATAATACAAGAAGAGGGAAAGAAAACTGAATTTCCACTTTAAAATGAAAGCATTTCCCAGCTTGTATTCTTCCATACAAAATACACTGTATTTTTATCCTTTGACTACTCTGCATCTCACAAATGCTGCAGTCGATGGTCTCTGGTCAGAAGTCAAGTTCTTTGCTTTAAATTGCCTTTGTTCAACCATTGAGAAAATCCACTGCAGTAAGTGTGGGAAAGGCTCAGTGAAGGGTGGCTGAATATCTCCTCGAGCTTTCTCCTAGACCTCACACTTACCAAAGGCTCTAGTTCTTTGCGGTCTATCAGGTTGAGCTCTGTCACGAAGTAATAAAAATGCTTGTAGCAGGTATTGACGTGGGCCTCGGCCCCAATGAGGATGATACGGTCAAAATGATGAATGTAGACGTGAACAAACACCCGAAAAAGCCGGCAAAGTATCTTCTTGCAGATCTGAAGGAAGTTCTTTGGAAAGGGAACACCTGTGAATAGAGAAGGTAGAGAGTTGTCACAACAGCTTGTCATCCTACCAAAACAGTGACTTTGGAGTAAAGAAAAAAATCTGTAACTGTAAAGAAGGTTATGACATGACTCCTTTCCACTCCAAAAGTCTATATAACATACAGGTGTCCAAACTTTTGGCTTGCTTGGGCTGCAGTGAGTGAAGAGGAATTGTCTAGGGTGTTATCTACGAAGCTTGCTCTGAAGGTAATGCCTCCTATTTATTCTGATGGAAACTACAACAGCTACAAAGAGTACAGAGACACTATTTAATAGAGCAAGTTCTCAGCTACAACATACTCTTTTCCAGCACAATCACCATCCTTTGCTCTGTGCTTTCGCCCATAATGAACAAGAGCCTGCATGCTCCACTCAGAAAAATCTTCACCAGCAGAGGTGAACTCTACCACTGTTGCCACTGCTGATACATACCAACCCACCCCTCACTGTGTGCACATTTCTCTTTGGTGTCCATAAATGTTGACAAGTATCAGTGAATGTCAGTGGGTGCCATTTTTTCTGCACAGAAGAATTCAGTTCTATACCTTTGTTCCATATGCAACTCATGCCAGAGTTGCCAGAGACAGAGTGCCTCCCTGCTGCCATCTGTTGCACAGCAATAAAATCAAAAGAATACCCCTGGGGTAGCTCTACCTCTACTGCCGAACCACCAACATCCTCCTCTGACAACATGGGACAACATTATAAAATAGGAGGCAATACTTTCATAGTAGCCCTAATAAAATATATGATACAGCTAATGTATATAAGTGACAAAACATTTTAATTTTCAATGTTTTTTATTAAAATACAAAAAAGGAGAGCAACAAAACCATAAAAGTAGTGGGATATTGAGCCTGTTTTTGTGAATGTAATGCATCAAGCTGGTTTGACAGAAGCAGCTGCAATTCTTAGTAAGGTCAGATTTAGCTTACTGTAGCAGCATAGGTAGCCAAACACTTAATCACTGTAATGGATCAAGACTAATTGGTACTGGTCTTTGTTCCCTTACTAGTTTAACAGAGAAACAGTTGGTGGCGGAATATTCAGAAATGTGATTTTCACTGCACTGCACTTGATAACATCAATGGCTTTGCATGTGGAGGTAGCTGTTCCACTTGCTGTACAGGCAGAGTTTGTCCTAGATGCAATGGACTGTCTTCTGCCCATCTTATTCAACAGTTTAACATTTTCACAAAGTTAAATTTAATAATGAAGAGAAACTGAAGGATACATCCCTTTGTTCTCAGCTTCATCGGCCACATACACCACTCTGTCTGCTCTTTAATAGAAAAGCTCACGAAGACAACAAGAACAACCTTTCTAAAATATCCTGGAAGTTAGACTACTATGTAGTTGAATACTTGAAAGTAGCAGTATGAGGAATATTTGCAAGTAGACCACCAGGCAACCACAGTGTAGCATCAATAATGACTTCAAAAAACCCTGTCATTAAAAGTTCACCTTGCATAACACTATCTATCACAGAGCTGTCACAAACACCTAAAGGATTCACCTACTTCTATGATTGCACTCTAGCACAATGACTTCAGTGCCATCCTCGTAACTCTGCTTGCTATTTGCTTTGTTGCATTGTCCTGATGTTTCATTTATCCTTCATATTTTTTTTCCAGATTTGAACTACATAACTGTAGTTACTGCTTCTTTAAAAAACAAAACAAAACAAAACAAAAACCTTACCACTAACCAGTCCCACAGCCCTTGGAACCTGGCTCATGGTTTCAACAAGAAAAAACATACATTATTTGTAGAAAGGAGATGGAGAAATTAAATTAACATTCTCAGAAGCTTGAGGGCACTGTACTTTCTGGTCCTGAACAGACATGCCCCAAAATAGAGAATAATTAGTTTCATCTTCCATGGGCTGAAAAACAATTGTTAATGAAGAACATTACTGTAATGAAGAAATATTTTTATATTAACTAAAACAATCCTAATACATCTAGCTGGCAAAGGTGAACAAATCCTTTACTTCTTTGCAGCCCATTTTCCCACTGAACAGTCACAAGCAGCAGGAGCAAAGGGGGTAGCAGTTTCTGTTGCAGGTGAGAGCTTCCACCTGATGGCCTTATAGGTGTGTAGGCACTGAATGTGAGAACATGCAAACAAGACACAGAAATAACTAAAGCAGAACAGCCAGGGGCATATAAACTTGCCACCTACCATTTGTCACTGCAGCACTTCCCCAGCTTTGCAAACCTCTCCCTGTCTCACTTACTTGGGCTATGAAATGAACAGTGAGACACAGCTATCATAGATCTGCTGCTCTTCGTATTCACAAATGGACAAGAAGGATGGCAGAAATGCAGTCTCAAAGAAAAAAAAAAATCTAATGCAACAGAAGAGATTCCAAACACAGTAACAGAATAAATTTAAAGTAATGTCATCAAAATTTGAAAAATCAGAATGAACTGATTCCAGATTTATACTCTGAGGTCAGAATTTGGCCTAATGTCTTCTTCCCACTGCAACTGTTACCGTTACAAATAAATCAAGCACAGAATGCAGTTGTTAACAGTGACCCCTGGGAAATGACTAGCTTAGATTTAGATGCTTAACTTGCTGAAGAGTCAACAGTGCTTTAGTCGAGCCTTCCCCCTTCAAGCTCTTTTTAACATGCAGTCCAAGTTTAATAATTCCTTTCCTGGAAATCTGAATAAGGGAAAAAATGCCTGAGTATTTATTTAAACTTTGGATTCCTTCTGCAACAAAAAAGATTTTCAATAAAGTTGACTGTCTCAGTATCTGAGTACAGTAAGGTGATACTGTAAAGATAAAGAATGAAAAACCACCAAATTAGATTGATAACCTATATTAATGGAACACAAAGAAATACAAAGATGCCAATGGATTTTTTGAGCTAGCTGCTACTTGCTGAAAAAAAGTACTTCTTGGAGCACAACCTGTTGGGACTCAGTGCTGCTGTATGAGAAGAATGTATTGGAAGGATTCCCTTGGTTCCAAACCCCAGGGGTCCTGACTATGTCCTAGTTAAGTGCCACGTTACACAAACGCTCTCAGACATCCCAGTCATACCATGCAAGCTCTTTTACTTCAGGGCTGTACATGCAACTGAGAAACAATGCAACTGAGTAAGAGAATGATGTGTATAGCATAGACAGCAGCAAATACTGCTAATGATAGCTTCCTCCTGCAGCACAGCAGCACTGGCACGCACCAGAACAGCAGTGGCCAGCCACCACCTCCTCCTTGCTCATACCTGCCTACCTGTCCTATACTCTTCTGCTTCATCCAACAGTGCTACCTGCCAGCTTCTACACCTGGGTCAAAACAACCCCATGCAGCAGCATAGGTCTGTGAAAGAGCAATTGGAAAGCTGCATGGCAGAAAAGGATCTGAGGGTGTTAGTCAACAGCTGGAGTGACCTGAGCCAGCAGTATGCCCAGGAAGCCAAGACAGTCTATTACATCCTGGCCTGCAACAGATGTAATGTGTCCAGCAGGACTAGGGAGGTGATGATCACTCTGTTCTCAGACCTGCTGAGACCACAACTCTAATACCGTGCTCAGTTCTGGGCCCCTCACTACAAGAAGGATTTGAGTTGGTGGAACACATTCAGTGACGAGCAATGAAGCTGATGAAAGGACTAGAAAACAAGAGTTATGAGGGGTGACTGAGGGAACTGGGATTGGTCAGTTTGGAGAAAAAGAGGCTAAGGGAAACCTCTTCATCTTCTACAACCACCTGAAAGGAGGTTGCAGTGAGGATGAGTCAGTCTCTTTTCTCAAGTGACAAGTGCTAGGACACAAACAAATGGCCTCAGGTTGCACTAGGGCTGGTTTAGGTTGGATATCAGTGATTATTTCTTCACAGATAGGCTGGTCAGGCCTAAGGAAGTGGTGGAGTCCCCATCCCTGCAGGCACTCAACAGACAAACAGATCTGGCTTTTAAGGACAAGGTTTAGCAGTGACCCTGTAGTGTTACATGGATGGTTGGGCTTGATGATCTGACAGGTCCTTCTAACCTAAATCCTTCAGTGATTCTACGACTCTTTTTACTTGCTAGAAAAGGCTACAACAAAGACTCTGTAAAACATCCAAAACTCAATTCACTCAACATGTTTAAGAAGTTTTAACACTTTATTTTCCACTGGAAATCAGTGAGACTTTCCCTTTCCCCCTTGTGCAGTGACCACCAGCAAGTCAATGGTCTGCTGGTTTAAAACCCAGCTACATGTTCTACAATGTCAGACTCAGGTGTACTTTGGACCTTCTGTATTTGTGTGGTTTGAAGACTTACTTCACTTAAGGAAATCCCTCTGGCAGTTGTGCACAGACAGAGCACTGCACATTTCAACATCTTTTGACAGGCCACAGTCACGTGTCATTCTTTTTTAACAATATACATATAGGAAAAGAAGACTCTTCTCCACTGGCAAAAAGAATGATAATATACTACTGCAAACACTGTTTAAAAATATGCCAACCTCGAAAAGTAAGATTATTTTTACTTTTATGAATGAGAAAGCAGTATTCTTAAAAACCAATGACCTGGAGAAGGCATCTGATCCAAATTCTTCTCTTCTTGCTCCCTAAGTGTTCTCCTCCTCCTACTGTCCCCAGTACTAAAATTTGTGAAAGATAGCCTCAGCAATTGCTGGAAACCTCACTGCAAAACACCTATCCCGATCCAAGCAGATGTTTAACTCAGCATGTTACTCAAGGAAGCATCTGCCTCAAGTGCCAATGAAAACAACGTTGGCTTTGCAGAACTTTGTTCCTCACCAAAATAAGCTGACAACTGCAAAAAGTCAGTGATAAACTAGACTACCATGCACCTACATCCTCCTGATCTTGCCCCACTTTCTGCTCTCACATGAGAGAAAACAGAACAAAGGAATATATCCTGAAGATTACATGGTGTCATTTATTTTTTAAGTGGTGCTGCCACTAACGAAAGGTACTTATGTTCAAGGGGAAAAGAACAAAGATCTGAGAA